GTTCGGTAGAAGAGAGGCAAATCTTTCTATTAAAGTGAAATATCTAATAAATGGATTTCTCAATAATTCACTCGCAGTGCAAGTCGTATTATTGACTCGAATATTGTTGCATTTCCTGATATTTGTTTTGCAATAATTTTTTGTAACTTGGGAACAGGTCTTGTCCTAGCACATAGTATTTGCTCCTTCTCCTATACCAGCGAATACAATCTTTGCAGGTATGTTTTGAAGGACGCTGGGTAGAATTTGAAGAGTACGATGCTCGGAAGCCATAATCGTAAGTTTAGCCTTAAACTTTTGAATTATTATTTCATGCAAAGATTTTTGTGCTGGGTTAATAGTATGTAACTGCAGTCTTATGGCTTTAAATACGCTCTAATCCTGTCGGAGATGAAATTACCCATCGTAATTTAGCTAAATATAGATTCAAAGAATTGTCCATCGGAAGAGATTTTTGATATTCTTATCGAGCTTTTCATCGTTATCTTGAATCATTTCACTAACAATCTCTGGGTTCCGATTTTTTTTTTTTGTTTTACGAAATAAGCGGAATAAATTTTCAGTGATCATCTACTCCATATTTAAAGTCATATTGGTATTGTTCCTCTCTTTCCTCGAAAGTTTCGAGTCTATAGAAGCGATTTTCAGTATTTCCTGGAGCGTGGTGCCCTAGCAGCTTATATTTATCATCAGTTTCAGAGATGCTACTGTATTATTAAAATCTTTTAGGTGTTTTCAATACGTCAGCTATGCTAATTGCTTTTAAATCTTTTAATTTGAAGTAATCAAAGATTTTGGAGGTTGCTCTAATTATCTTAACTAGAACTATAATATTGTCTGATCCGTGGAGGTTACCAGTTTTAGAACCGCAATATGCACGGTCTATCTAGTACTCTAAAGAACTCTTTCAATAATGATTAACTAAAAGAGTTCCATATAACTAGATATCTTCTGTAATGCTGAAAATATTTCTTTATTTATTTTTTGAAAAGCAGCCAAGCAGGACGACAAACCATTAATAACAACAGTTAAAATAATAAGAATTAATGACAAAGACAAAAAAATAATAAAATAAAGCATAATCAACAATTTAAGGATGAAATAAATATGAAATTACAAAATAATACAAAATAATATAGTACAATTCGAAATAACTATAATCAGATGGTAAAAATCGAGATTTCACCCTTTTTGCATGATGTGAACTTTTTAAATAATATCATAAATGATATTATCTAATCTTTTTTTAAAGATAGCTAAGGATGACGCACAAGCTATATCGTTCAGTAGTTTACTCCAGTAATTAATATATTGCGAATCCTTAGTTTAGTTTAGTTTAGTTTTGCACGTAGGTTTTAGTAATTTTAACAATTAGTTCTTGCTAGATTCAAAGCCTAAAATTATACTATATTGAACAATCTAATTTAACCATGCAGGATCTTATAAGTATAAATTAAATCTGTTTAATATGACGAATTGAGAGAGAATCCAGGTTGTATTGTAGAAGTTTTCTTCTGTAATTATTGCAATTAGGAAAAAGGCGCCTATAAAATATTTCTGGATTCGTTCGATTATTTTACTTGATTTACGATATCTCGGAGAGTAAGATGTAGTATTGTAGTCAAGAAGTGGCCGAACATTTTGTACATTTTGATAAAAAAATCTGTAGTTTTGTTCTTAAACGAACGAAAAATAAATCTTAATATCTTTGAGGATTTCTTCATCATGGTTCTGCAATGAAGGTCGAAATCGAGATTTTCATCCATGATTATTTCAAGATCGGAAATGTGTGAGATTCTACTGATTATATATTACCATTCTTCTACTGATTGCCATTAACAAAAAGATTAAGAAAATCGAAACCTTTAGAATTGATATGAAGAAGGCTACATTTTTGAAAGGAAAGAGTAATTTGTCTGTCATATAGCCAGCTGACTATTCTGTTGAGGTGCTTCTGAGTGGAGATAGGCTATCTGCACCATTAGAATAATAAATTTTACAATCATCAGCATAAAGATAAATAGTAGAATTTAGTAAAACATTGGTAATATCATTTATATATGATAGAAAAAGCAATGGCGCAATATAACTACCTTGAGAAAAACCAGATTTAACAGGTGTTGTATCAGAGAGAGTGTTATTGACAGCTTGGTGACGATCTTTTATATAATCTGACACCCAGTTATAGAGGTCCCCTGTTATGCCATAACTATTAAGAGTGACCAAAAATTTGCTATGGGAAACAGTATCAAAAGCCTTAGCCAAATCTAGATACACAACTGATACTATTTTTCCATTGTCAATTGATGCTGACCAATCAGAAAGATTTGCCAATATTTGTGAAGAAGTATTTTTTTTGTACAAAAGCCATGCTGATAAGGTGATATAAAATTATTGGCATCAAGATAACCAAATTGTTGCAAATCAACCTTTCTTTTCGAGTGCCTTGCTACCAACGCAAGTTAAGCTAATAGGTCGGTCTATAATTAGAAGGGTCATAGGTGCTTCTTTTTTTATGAATGGGAATTACATGAGACAATTTCCAAATTTTGGAATTAAAGCCAGACTTAAGGGCAAAATATATTGGTGGTGAAAGGTCCAAGCTCTTCAGCAAGTAAATTTTAATAAACTCCTCAGCAAGTAACTCCTGTCAATGTTTGGCAAGCCAGATTTCCTAAGAAGAAGATTTGAGATAAAAGTGGCCAAAAAAATAAAAAAGGTGAGCCATATATTTCTCGCAATTCTGGCTTATTTCCTGTCCATCTCTAATTGTAGAAAAGTTCGCAAAAAAGTTATTTTAAATTTTTTAATTTGAGAATTCAATTCAGAAAAATCCTCAGATTATTTTATTGATGCTTTTAGGACAAATGTAAAATATTTCAAACTGATTTTTTCAATATTTATTTTTGTTGACCTATTTTTATTTACTTGTAATTATTCTTGTTCTTGTAATTAAGAAACAATACTGGTGACATTCACTCGTTTTATATTCATCACAAGTTTCTTAGTTTCTTCCCACAAAGAAAGAATGATGTGAATTTAAAAAACAATAGATATGTGATCTACACAAATAAATTTGGCAGGTACCACAGATCTTTCTCTTAGAATTCACAGATCTAAATGCTAAAAGTTGTATAGATGCAACGAAGAAACTAAGGATAAGTATGAGGGAGGATTTATTTTCTAAGACCTCTCATCTTTCCTAGTTTTTTTAAGCTACCTTGTTGGCCCGTTAGAACGTTTTGCCAGAAAGTTAGAAGGAGTAGTAATAGCCCAGCAGCCCAGCATCAGCGCTTCGAAATGAGAAATTAAAAAGCATTCTACTTTGAATAGCCTAAAAAGAACTATATTTCTTGCAGTCCTCGCTTATTAGTGTTCATCTCTAGTTATAGAAAAATTTTTTTATGCGGTACTTCTTTACATCTTTATTTCTTGGTAGCATCATACATCTTTACACATGCACCCAATATTAGTTATCAGGCGAATTCCATGACCCTTGGCAGTAACTTTATTCATCATTGATATGATGATATTTATAATATTTTATACACAATATTTTATAATATTTTATAGCATGATTTATAGCATAACACAGCATATGCATAAAAATTGATTCAAACACTATCCAATGTGCCTTTTTGAACTTTACGTTGCGATAATAAATAGCTATGAAGAACTTTTTAGCTTTTAATGGAATATAATGCCGAGGCATGAAAAGAATACAATAAGTTTGAGAGTATTGTAAGTATATAAATGTGAAAAGGATGTATTCTGAAACGATTTTTTCATTTTTTATGTATAAAATACAAGAATATGAATAAACATGAATGTATAAAATACATGAAAGATGCATATATATATATATATATATATATAAGCAGACTAATAACAAAGATACGTAAAAAAATTGAAAAAAAATTTTTTATAGAAAAAATAGTTAAAATAGTAATAATCAAAAAGGAAGAGAATTTTTAACAATGAGAAAGAAACTTCTGACGTTATAAGATGAGCTTTAAAAATATGAAAGTGACACTTGTGTAATAAAATTTCTATGCTAGGTTATGTGTAGCCAATGCATCCAGAAAGTAAACTTGTAACTCACAGTCATTAAATCCTCTAAATATGTTTGGAAACAATTGCCACTCCTGCAAACTACAAAATCAGATTAGGCAAATGACGAGTGCTTTAAGTTCTGAAAGGAAATTGGCGATAAATAATGAGGATTTATCCAAAGGATTGTCAACATCTCAACAGATTTTAAAGAATGCAACTTAAAGACAGTTCTGATCATGCTTAGACTCCTTACTACTTTCAATTTAAACTCTGACACATCGTTTAAGATCCACGAGACTTCCATAATTTATCGTTAGCTCTATCAAACTCACACTATATTTTTTTGATATCCACAGTGATTCCGCTTTTTGCAATTTCAACTTGATAAAATTTTAAAGAACATTAAGGAATATGGAGGTTTGAAAGATTGAGGATTTCATCGATAAAAAAATTTAGTGATGTCTACGGCACTAAAGACATTAAGTGAATTTGTGGTACTGATTTGATATAGCAAAAATGCACTACAACCAGCCATTAAGAGAAAAGAGCAAGGTTTCGAAGATTGCCAAAGAGTGCCAAATATAAATATAACAAGAGGAAAGTGTTAGGGAAGCATGGCGAGATTTCAAATATTCGAAGGGAAATGACGATAGCTAACAAATTGAGAAAAGTAGAACTGAAATTGCGTAAGAGGTTTTAAAGAAGATTAACTGGATTTAAGGAGTTAAAATTTGTCGAGAGTAGCGAAGGATTTTTATAAAATTTGAAATTTGGTAGATTTTAGAGAAAATAAATGATTAGAGAAAAAAGATTTTTTCCGAACACACATAAAATTATTATAGATTACAAAACTGCAGTAGGTTATTTTCAGAGAAAATTTTTTTTTCAGGCAACCACTTAGCCAAGCTTTTAATGTAAATTTATATACTGCGGTTTAAACTTTCAGATGTTTACCTAATTTGACTCTCAGTCACCGCACAATTGATGATATATGGCTACCAAATGTTTGCTTTCAAAACAGTAAAGCAACTGCGGTCCATAACAGTCCAACGCCGAATATATTTTTATTAATCTATCCTAATGGAACCATATGGGTGAACTACAGAGTTAAGGTACTTTTTTATTCTTTCCACTGCTTTTTACAGATAGTACGGTCAATCATTTATAAAAAGCCTTGTGTATGCATGCTGTGTACTTTTTCTTCGTTCTTTTCTTTTTTCTCGATTCTCTCTTCTTTTCCTGAGTCCTCAATTTCAATTCCACTTTATATGATGATTGGCATAATCGTACCGTCAGTGAAAATAGTTTGCTTGAGAATTTATTTCATATACTATTGTTTTTCCTGACATTTATAAATATTAAAAAGGCTCTCGAAATACATCGTAAATTTATCATTTTATTCATTTCAATTTAAGGTTGAAGCCCCATGTGAATTAGATATGACTTCTTTTCCTATGGATGTTCAGCGGTGTACAATGACATTTGAATCATATTCTTTTAATGTTGGAAGAGTGCGGCTCGATTGGTTCGATACAGGAGTGATTATGGATGTTCAAGTGATTTTTGAATTGAAAAAGTTCTCCACATGATAAATCGAGCCAGGACAATGATAAAATGACTATAATTATAAAGTGTATTAAGCAGAATTGAAACTTTCTCGCACAAAATTGCTTTTTACCAATTTTCATTTCATGTTTCCTATTTTCATTTGAAATATGATTTAGGGAAAACTACCAGATTTTGAATTAGCCCGATATACATGGCAAAAACAAAAATTTTATTATCCAGCTGGTCAGTGGGACCAATTAAAAGCTACCTTTTACTTTAGACGCACTTATGGTTATTATATATTGCAACTCTATTTACCAACATATGCTTCAGTTTTTATAAGGTTATTACTGCTTTTAATAATTAATATAATGCAAATTAATATAATACAATACAATACAATACAATACAATATAATTAATATAATATAATATAATATAATATAATATAA